TTAAAGAAAAAGGGCTGGTAACTTTCGCAAATAACTAATATAATTTTGTGTGTTCTCTTTTTATTAAAACCTTTTTATATATTTGTCCTTGGTAGCACAAGTAGTTAAATGTGTGTATATCACTAGATACATACATGTGCACACACACCTAAATAAAGATATATATTGTATAAGAGATCCACATCTGTTAATCTCCCGAGAGCTAGTGGGAGAGAGCTCAGGTGTGAGCTTGCTAAAGTGTGAAAAAGCTCACTGGATGAAGTAAAATGACAATAGACTGGTTACATATTGGCAAAAGAATAGATAAAGTCACAACTTCTGTCTGAGAGAGTCCAGACCATTGTTAGAGAAAGTGACTTGCTGCTGCTCATTTTATATTATTCATACAACATAGACAGGATAGTTTCACATAGTATTAATAAAATTTCATTTATTCTACTACTATTCAAAAAGGTGACATAAAAATTGCATATATTTATACATTATATTAGATCTTTATTATGCAAGTCAATAAACCTGATATCAACCAACTGATGCCAGTAAAACTTTCAGGATATACTTATATGATAAATATATTATATGAATTTCAGCTTATTTGTTTTTATTTGAAATATTTACAATAATTTGGAGGCATGAGATTATATTATTTAGCTTAAGGGCTGTTCATGAGTATATATAATAGTATAGTTAATAATATTTATTTTTTAATTTCTGATATATAAAGATTGTCATAGGCCCTAAGAAAGATATAATCTTAAAATAGAAATGAGATGTAAAAGTATTGGGCAATGGGAACACAACTTTGGAAATTGTGAAAAAGTTTAAGTGAGATCAAAGAAGAATAAAAAATGAAATTACACACAATTAAGTTAACAAAAAGAAAAACTGGTTTTAAAACTGTCACAAAAACAATAAAATGATGAACAAGATTGATGAACAAGAAAGTGTTTGGAGAAGCTGATGTTGTGGATATAAACAAAGAGAAGAGATGCAGAATATCAAGATGGGAAAGCAACAAAACTACCATTTAAATAAAAATAACAAACAGAAACATGCAACTTTGATGTAGAAATACACAAAAATACATTTCTATCAGTAATTATTACTGATAATGTAGAGCTACATAGGATTGTCTTGATGGTTGGGTTAGAGATTTGGTTCTCCATAGAAATAATAAACCAGCATGACTTAGAAGACAACAGGGGTAGGAGGTAGAATAATGTTTGAGGCTATTATTGTCAGCAGTATAATTATAGGTCCTTTCAAAATTTGATAGTATCAAGATACATGTAGGTAAATATTGTGGATTCTTGAACAAGACACTTTTGTGTAGTCCAGGTAACAACTAACGAGTTTTAAGCTAAAGAGTAACATATTTGATGCCATATAAGACAAACTTGATTTCCCAGAAAATGGATCAAAAAATTATCCTGTATGATGTGCAAAGCTTAGGCCTCCCATGAGCTATTTTTTATCCCCAATGCTCACTCTCATATGCAATAATTTTATCTCAAACAGTCACTTCTACCTAGCCCAAATCCATACTATTATTTACTAAAGCAACATTATTATTATTATTGGTATTGTAAAAGAAATTATTGTAACAAAGTACTGGCAATATTTGTTTGGTACCAGATGATCTATTATACCTGAATATGCCTCGACACACTATGATAAACCACGTGGAAACTACAGAAGAGATGTAACTGAATAAAAATAACATTAATGATAAAACTATATTTTGGTTGATGCTCAACTGTAGTGGTAGCTTGTCTTTTATAAAATGTTTCCTATTTTGTTTCTATTGCACAACTGTAATCATAGAGAATATTTTTTCCATTGTAATTTCTTGCCTTATGTTCAGCAGAACTGCTAGCTTGCTTATTATATACAGTAATGTTTTTTCTGCTATAGTTAAAGTGTTTTGGTAATGTACTTATACCTTGTCTTAAACATAACATGCTTTAATACAGTAATATATTTTCATAAATATGTTCTGCTGAAATGAAGGATGTCTAATATACCTGTGCATAGTTTTATGCCATCAAATATGGTATATTTCTGAAAGGTGATGTTCATTCATTCTTTAAATCTTCCTATTCCCTGCCACTTCATTGAAATGGTCCTCAGTTGTTACAGACATTAATCCATTAGAAAATTTGTGGTCAACCATTATAAAATATGTATATAAGAATGGAAAAATATATTCAAGTAAAGATCTCTGGGAAGTAATAAAAAATTCTAGAAATAATGTTAAAATCAGAATAGTAGGAAAGTTAATAAAATGAAGGTTAGAAAATATCAAACTCATAACAAGAGGTAAAATAATAATTTATTGAAGTATGAGATATCAATTGTAAGAAGATAGACTGTATGGTTGTCAGGAAAAGATGTGAACTATGAATTGGAGACAGCAACATTAAGCAAGTATAAAAATGTAAATATCTTGTAAGTGTTTTAACAGAGGACAGAAAATATGACACCAAAATCTTAGTGTATTGGAATAAAGAAAGATGCCTTCTAAAAGTTAAGTAAAGCATTAAGAAAAAGCAAAATGTTTTAGAAACAAAGAAAAGAGTACTTTTATGTAATATCAGTCCTCCTATATAGCAGTGAATGCACACAGATGAAAAAGAGACTTGAGACAACAGAAAGAAATGTGGTTCTACAGGAGGATGCTGAGAATACCATGGATTAAACACATGAGCAACAATACTTAGAATCAAAAAAAGACAGTTGAAATTTCTACAGTACATAATGAAAATTTAACACTCAGATATGTTGAAGGCAAAATTGACAGAAGAAAGATGCAAATAGCCTACTTAGTGAGGTTGTTGGCAGAATGAGGATTAGAAGAAATAGTATAATGACAAACACAGCTAAGAGCTACAAAGAACAGGAAGTTGTGGAGAACCATGGTCACCCATGTATTAAAGGGACACATTACATAGAAGAAGAATAATATAAGATACTGTTTTAATTAAATATATCTTTGGGATCTATTTATAAATAAAAAATTACATTGTACTTTGTTTGCATAACAATATTTGACACTTCCAAAACATTATTATTATTTTAAACTAGGATAAATATTACTGAAGCACACATACAAATTGCTCATGTAAATATATCTTGGAAATTTTCCTATATGGAAACTAGGTTGTTTATTATGTGCATAGTAATTTTTTCCAAGGGTCAAATTTAGCAAAATTTTGGATTGTACATTATATAGCAGAATATTTCAAATAAATTTAAACTTTTAAAAGCATTGATTTGTAGAAAACAGAACTGTCTGTCTATGGATTTTATCAATATATTACTTGTTGAAAATTTTGTTTCAAATGCACTGATCATTTTTATGCTGTAAATGTGTGGACATATGCACATATAAAGAGGTACTGATATGTTATTGGCCTGATCCATTTCCTAAAATCTGACTAAGGGATCAATCCTTATAATGGTTTGAGGGAGGGCTTCTTGGTTGTGCTGAGAAATTTTCGAACCTATATATATATACACACACACACACCATTATAGTTAGGAAGTTAGGATAAGGGTTTTTTCAAGTTTGCATCATGTGCAATATATAATTATTGTGATATTTTTAATGAATATCTAAGATTAACGGTTGTTTTTCTTATATGATATTTGTTTGTTCTCATTTCATTTTTCTTAATATAGACTAGTTCACCATCTTCTATGCACATTGTCTCTTCAGGATATGGGTGAACGTAGCTCTCCACAACTTCCTATACTTTGTAGCTCTTAGTAAGATTTGTCTTTTCACCATCCCTTGCAGTCTCTGTTCTGCCATTCATTTTCTTGCTGTTTTCCTCTTGCTTTCAATGTAGCCTGTCAGTGCCAAATTCTCCAAACCATCTTTTCTCGTCATAAAGAACATTTTTTGAATTCACATACTCAAATTTTTTAATATAAAATTCTAGGTTAACTTCTGTGCCTCTCTCTTAATTAAAAAGCTAATTAGTTTGAAGAGCATATTTTTTAAATTTATATCTGAAATTCAAAATAATAAAGTATGTATACAAATTTAATCTGGATATACTTACCCTTGGCACTGATTGACTCAATATTTTTATAGTAATAGACACATGCATCTTTGAGGATGCAGTACCGCCTACGCCACACTTTTCGGTTCAATCCCATTTTGTAGAGATAGCCACTGCAGTCTGGCCGCTTGATCTCCAGGGCTGGTATTCCTACATTGTGACTTGTAACATCAAGCCAGGAATCCTTCTACAAAAAAAAAATGTAACAAAATGAAAAACATCAATAACCACAGGTGTGTGGTAACAAGCAAGTGTAACAGCTTGTGGCAGATCATTTGAGATAAACTTGAAAGATTGCTTGAAGTGGCCATTTTTCAGAATGTGCTCAGATAATTTAGTGGGTTAGCCATTAAGATCAGAAACTCTCATCTGTGTATTACTGGCATGCAGATCTAATGATTTTCAGAGCAAAGCACTGAGCAAAGCTGAAATAATCCAATGATTTTAAGACTTCACATACATTTACCAACATCAATGTAGAAATGTAAGCAGTGTTAGAAACCAAAATTTATAGCTTAAGTCAACAGTTTTTGTTAATTTCTTGAAGATAATATCTATAGTGATAAAGAAATAAATTCAATAAGAAACTATAAAAATAAACACTGCTAAGCCATATAGGTTTGCCCTTTCTCTCTTTCTCAAAAAAAAAATCATCTTGAGTCATGGTACCTACATCTCAAGAAAAGAAAAAATGTTAAATCATGGTACTAAAGTTACTTTGTTTTAAATTATGATACTACAGATATCATGTTTCTTTTAAATCCTGTTACTAAAGTTGCTTATTGAAGCATAAATTCCTATACTGCTTATCAAAAGAAGTTATTTTACATACTGTCTCTTCAGGATGTGGTCGATCATTGCTCTTCACAACTTTCTATCATTTGTAGCTCTTAATAATGTTTGTTACTATCCATCCTACTCTGTTCAGCTTATGTTGAAACACCAGTTCTCATACAATCACCAAAGTTAAGCAAAATTGAGCCTGGTCAGTACTTAGATGGGTAACTGCTTGGGAATATCAGATGCTGTAAGACTGGATTTGTGAGTGGTGTTATGGATAAGCCTCAGAATTGGAAATTGGAGAGTCAAGCTTCAATTGCACTCACTTATGCACAAATACCCTTGGGAAAGTTATGAATCCACCTCTTCTTCCCTTAGCTATAGGTTAATTAGAAGTATCAGTAAATAATTATTATTTCAAAAAGTTATTAAAATCTAAAAATATTTTCTGGTGTTAAATAACCTGTAAGCCATAAAAAAACAATCAACCAATCAAACCAACTTCTTACTCTGACATCCATTTACGCAAGCTTGTTAGATAGTAGGTTACTTGCTGTGTCTTTCTGTTTTTTAGCATTTAATATGTCCTATTAATTCTCTAAGCCCTCTTTCCTCATTATGTGTCCTCAAAATTTGTCCTGTCTCTTTCTGATTGTAATTATGTGTCCTTTTTGTTGCCATTTTTCTTAAAACTTGCTTGCATGTTTAATCCATAGTATTCAGGGCATTCTTCACGACATTAATTAGAATGTGTAAAAAAGAACCTAATAATGCCCAATTTTATGTTAGGTGAGAGAAAGAAAGAAAAAAAAAGATAATCATTGCTAAGTATTTTGATTAAATTTGAATTGATTTTCCAGATAACAGTAGATATTTCTTTTTGGAAATCTTTCTCAAGACAGAATAATTTGCATGAGAAAACCTCATCTGCTTATAGAACATGGAATTTGGTTTCTTGTTTATTACATTATTGAAATGATACAAAAATAAGTATCATCACTTTTTTTATTTGGCTGATCCAAGCTGAGTTACTAAGATTTTGTTTGTGGTCAGATACAAAGATCCCAAATCTGAGGATTACTGAAATACTGACTATAACAAATTCAGCTGTCACATGTGCTTTCCTGGCTGGACACATCTCCAGTACAATATAAGAAAACTCTAAATCTGTTTATTAATGTCTAGCTTGTTTGCTTTACTTTTCTATCAATCTTTGCCCAACATCATTCTGCCCCAATAATCTTTCTATTTGTTCTTCAATTTAATCTTCCTTCTTTATAACTTTCTCCTCCTTTTTTGACTGGGTCTTCTTGATTTATATTTCCTTTTGTTATCTTTGCTCACTCCAGAGCAATTTGTGAGAGAAAATTTCCTTTGTTTTTCTGTTCTTTGTACCTATTTCAGAAATTCTCTTTGTTTAACTATTTTTGGATTCTTGTCCCTGAGTTCACATATTGTGCCAGTGGTTTAAACATTTATTCTATAGAATCAGCTACCAACGGCTACTATGGGCATCTGTCAGGTGTTCACACAGTACAATACTAATCTTCATGCTGCAACTGTCACAACATGATCTAATAGGAAAGATTCCATGAGTTCAAGATCATTGTTAAAGTACTGTAATAAAGATAATACAGCAAGGTTATACAGTATTGTCCATGCTTTTTAGTGCTTTACTTCCAGATATTGTTGCTTACTTTTATTTAGTTATATTTATTTTATTTTCAAAGTAAGACTAATGATTAAATACCATATGCAATTATGAATGATTATGCAAAATTTGTAAAATTAATTTTTTCACAAAACTATAATTTGCAGTTCAGCCATAGAATTGTATATACAGATATTCTTGTCATTCATAGTTAACAGGCAAAAATTGACACACATAAAACCTTGCATTTTTTAAAAGAATACTTCAGATATTATGATATTTATTAGTACAATAATACTAAATAATAGAAAGCTTTGCATTACTTAGCTTCTTACTCTTTCAAGCCTCTTTGTTCTCTTTTTATCCATTTTAGTAAGGTGATCCATCCTTCATAAAAATATTTTGCAAAATAATTTCTTACTGTATTAATAATGATAGTGATATAACTTACCTGTATCAGTTATATATATATATATATATAAAATCTAAAATAAGTTATATCCTTTAGACATAAATTTACTGAAGGTTTACTAGTTTTTTTTTAAACCAAAGTGTTGTAGAACAAGTTTACAATGATGCAAAAACATTAAAGATTAAGAAAGTTGAATTTTGCTCTGATAGAACCATAAGAATCTGATCTTGTGAGACCAGCTGCTTAATAATCAAGGTTATTGTATTTAGTCTCACAATCTATTTCCAGTGAGTTTATTCTTTATTTCGATGCCTTATCAAGATACTGGCTTAATCAAACAAATATTTAACTCAACCTTCTGAATTACTAGATTACAAAACAGTGTGTATGGAGATATTTATATATATCTATACACTTTTTATATATAAATACAGGCATCTATTATAACTATCACCATATATACACAGTTTTTTTATAATAATTTACCAAAGCCAGAAACATTTTTCAAAGTTAGAGATGTCAACAAAGAAAATATGCTGCTTAAATATACACACACCTTCCAAAAGCATTAATATACCTTTCTTATTTTTGTTATTCTCCAGTGGCCTGATGATATTTTATTGTTTCTTATGTAAAGCTGTAAATCAGTTTGCTTAAATATCTTCTTTTTTTTGTCATTTTCTCATGCATTTTGAATGAATATCATTCATTTACAAGGATTTGTGTTGTTTGTGGCTATTGTTCAGTTATTCATCTTTTTCTTCAGATGTTCTATTTTCCCAACTATTTACAATTCAATATTGTCATGGATTCTGACTGTTATTGTAATGTTTCAGAATATATTCTATGCCAGTTTCTTCTTTAACAATAAGATTGAGATAACCAGAATGATACAATGAAACTTATTTTAATATCAAAGATTTTTTAAAATGCAACTCGCAAATGCAAGTATTCCCACAGAAATCATTTTTATCAATTTACTCTTCCTTATCGGATTTATTTCAAATTCTAATAAAATAATAAAAAAATACTAAATGCTCAAAGAAAAAAAAATCTCTACAATTGCCTAATTGTTACATTTCAAAATAAATTTTGATAAAATTAAAAAGCCAACTTACCCTGTGTGAACTATGGGCTGCAATCTGGAGGGCTTCTACCCACCTGAAAATTAAAAACAAAAAATAAATTAACTTTTACTTAGTTTCATAATTTTGAACAACTTTGAAATGAGAAACATAGTATTAGTATTATTAATAACCAAAGTTATAACTATAGTTTATATAGCTGTTTCTTCTTAATAATGTCATGACTTTCCTTTCTCCTTCTTGTTTAGCTCCCAATTTTACATATAGACACACACATGCTGAAATGATACATATTCATAAATATATTACACTATTTTGTATTCAAATTTATAATAGGCAACATAAAACTTTTACATTTGAAAAAAAAATATCCATTTCATATAAATTATCAAGAAACATATTTTGTTATATTAAATTTAAATAAAAAAAGGCAAAATATATTTGATACAAGCTATATATAATTTTATATTTAAATTAATTAGATCTTTTTTAGATTACATATACTTAAATTCACAGACACACATTTTAATATATATGTATATCATTCATTCATTCATTCATTTCTTGTTTTACATTTAAATGAACTTTAGATTTTCAATAACAATACCACATGCTTTTGTTTGCAATTTCTTTTACCAATCAATAAAACTGTAGCAACATGGCACCTTATTTTCTAACATGTACTATTTAACCAGACATCATGATTTTCAATGAAAATATTTAATTTAAAGTTTGTGATGTGACTTTGATACAAGAGTGTCTTAGGATAAATCAAGTTTGGAGAATTGAGTGAAGGGAGATTGTGTATGATCAGTGGATTTCACTCATACTCATTTGCCTATCTATGCATGAGTAAACAATAAGAAAAAATAAACAGTTTCTGGACCAAATCTCATATCTATCTGATGGTAGAGAGAAGATTTATCTTATTCAACACTTGAATACGAGAACTGGGTGCTAGTTTGGCAGTTTGAACACATCCCCAAATTTAATAATAATAATAATAAAAAAAAAAGATTTCTAAAATATCTTTTGGGAATGCCTCATATATTACAACATGTAACCAACCAAAACAAGAATAAACTTTGATATTATGAAGACATCTATGGATAAACTAAGAATTACATGAAAAATTTGAACAAAAAAATACCTTACATATATAATTAAAATATCAATCTTGAAAAATAATGATATAAAGATAAAATTATATAAGGAGTGCAATAGTCACAGATTCTTTATCAGGATACTTTATCTGTTGCAATTCAGTGAAAGGTGTCTTTAAATGGCAGGGTAGAACTTAATAAAAGAAGATAAGCAAATGTGTTATAGTCATTAATCAGGTTTAGAAGTAAAATAAATTAAGAATCAAATATATTGGCTGTGTTGATTAACAAGAGTGTCTAATGATGCTGAATTCACTGCCCTTGCAAAACTTTAAGGCATACATTTGCCTTACAACAAAGACAAATGAAAATTGTTTCAGTGAACCAGCTTTACTAAATATGCACTAAATGACAAAAAATATTTCCCTTTTTTAAGATTTATTACATGAAAATGAAAACAAAAATAACTTGGCTGATAATATCCTAAGGTCAGAAGAGACATATATTTATTATATCACGATGATAATAAAATCCAACTTCATTGTCTAGAATCAAATAACGGCAGTTGTAGGTCATATAAGATTGACTGTATTTAGTCTTACTTCTTTATAATAGACATACCAGCTAAAGAGTGTCAGGTTAAAAGATAGCTTTAAAATCTATTGTAAGTTTGATCTGAATGAGAGATCCCACAGTTGTGGCCTTGTGTCAGACTAGCTGAATAAATATCCATTTTTGCACATACATTTTATTAATCCATAATTTGTTTCATTTTCTGCAAAAAGAATTGTCTGACAAGAGAGGGTTCACTTATTTTTGCACATCTTAATTTTTAATTAATATTTTTATTCCAGCTTGATAAAAAATTTTTGACAGTGGTTGTATTTCACTTAATAATGATTTTTCTTAATGAATATTTAGTTTAATTAAGATTTGTTGATTATCTGGAAAAAAGAGATGAGTTTTTTTTAATATTATCTTAGGAGTTCACCTACTATTG